CTTCATATTCATGAGCCAACTTACTCACTAAAAGGTTTTCAACTCTGGACTCTCAGGCCACTACAACTTATATCCACACAACGGGATATTTTAATTTTTAAAACAATTTTATTTTCTTCCAATTTTTATGTATCTCAACTTAAAAACATGTATCTCATCACTACATGTTTATACAACTCAACATCTTTAATCAACCAACAACTTTCAACTTAGTCAACTCTAATTCATAAGCAACTTACTACTAAAACAACTTAAAACATCATTATAAATAATCATAAATCATGTAAGCAATCAATATACTAAATTCATTCTCAACACTTAGCCAAATAACAACAAGTTTCTCATCCATCAATCCACCCTAGGCACCATTCTCCTAGTGCCTGATGTCATCAAGGCAAAGAGCCTCTAGCTCGTCCATGCCTGACACCAAACCACTTGCCCTCAGCATGGATGAGGCAAATAACCCTTGTGTCAATCTCGCTTGACATAGCTAGACCTACGTCTAACTTCATCTAGGTAGAGAGCCTCTACGTGATTCACGCTCGACACCACAAAATTGATGCACGACGTTGTCTAGGTAGAGAGTCTCTATTTTGATCACGCTTGACACCACTTATCTTAGGGTCTGACATCACCAAGTTAGAGAGCTTTATGAGTAATCATGCCTGATGCCTCTCATTCCACGCTTGATGAGACCAAGTTAGAGGACTTCTTATTGTCCCACGCCCAATGCTACCAATCCTATGTCTGGCATCTTTAGGGCAAATGACCCCTAATCAAGTCACATTTGACACTATAAAGGCATGCCCAATGTGATGAAGGATTTTGCACTTAGTTGAATTTCATTTTGGCTCAAAACCCATGAATAACTCAAAGAAACCAACATGCAATCCAATTTCCAACATGTATACATTCTATATAACACATTTCTAATACAATCATCAAAACCAAAATCACCAACTCTTCCAAAGGCACCTTCAATAACAACATCATCATCTCATGATTTCAAACAATCTAACTACAAATGATGATTCTAGATAACAAACAACAATTCTAATTCAACAACTTTCAATCAAAAACTTTTCTTACCTCAAATTGCCTAAAAACGAAAAGAGAAGAAGAAAAAAAAGAAAGACTCGAACTCTTTACATGGCTTTTGACCTCAAATTCTCGACTTCTAAGCTTCAAATTTAACAATCTATTATTGCTACTTAGTTGAGGGAAGGATCTTACAAGGTTCCAAAAGAAGCAAATTTTTTCTTTGACTCCAAAGCTTATTTCTCTAGTTTCAATATAACTTTTCTTAAGATATGAATTTACGAGATTCACATCTTAAGAAAAACCTTAAATATTCTTTCTTAAATTTGGTTAACTTAACCTTAATTAAAATTGTCTCTGTAACAACTTAACTCTCAAGGATCTCTTATCCTTAAAACTTTAAAACGACAACATTTACAACAATTCAATAATTAATCAGTCAACATATATTATACAATTAATCCATAAAACTTAAAATTACACAGTGTTCCAAAGTCAATGATAGTTACAATACCATAAATTAGATTAGTTTAGTGAATTGAAGGTATCCATGACAAGAAAAAGAGATATAGTAAATATGTTTTCGAAATAATAATTTCTATGTTAAAAATTATTTAATAATGTCATTATTTTCTTAAAAATATTATATATTTTGAATTTTTAGTTATATATGTATATTTACGATTTCAAAACGTTATTTTGTAATATAGTAATTAAATAGAAAATCTATTTATTAGGCACGTTATTAAATAATTTTCACCACTGAATTATTTTATCACGTTTATGGTGATATAATTCTTTAGTTTTTAAAAACTTAAAATGAATAAGTTTGAAAAGTCAGTTTTCTGAAGGAAAAACAGTTTGAAAAATCAATTAATGACAGTGTTAATTGTTAATTATCATTTTAAAGGATTACTGTAAAAAATATTTAAATATATTATGTATTATCTATACTTAATAAAGAGATTACCTCATTTTGTGTTCAAAATTTATTACTTTTTTTACTTTTTTTTTACTCTAAATAACTTTTTTTAAAAAAATTATTATTTTCCTTTTTTTTCTCACAAAAATGCGGAGTGTCTTTTTGTTTTTTTATTAGTATATTATTATTGATATTAACGATTATAAAAAAATCAAATATAAACAATATATTAGGTATTTAATTTTTTAATGATTATATTAATAAATATTTTTAAATTACATTAAAAGTAATTCAATAATTCTTTATATTATTAAATATTTTATGATATATATCTATTATATGTTGTATTTTGAATATAGTATTTTTTTCATAAATGTTGACATTATTTTGTATATCAATATTCTTTGCAAATAATTGATTTTTTGATTTTGCAATACATATATGTATAATTATTAAATGTATTTAAAAGTCAAATTTATCAAAATATTAAAATATAATATATTATTGGTTAAAATTATATTTTTAGTATTTTATCTTATTTTTCAAGATTCATTTTAGTTATTTATCTTTTAGAATATTTATTTTAGTCTTTTATTTTTAAAATTTAGATCGATTTGACTCTTTTAAAATAAAGATTATTTTCAATTTTGAAACACAATCTTTAATCTTTTTGATTAATTCAAAACTTAAAACTTATCTTATGAGATTCAATAATATGGAAAACATAATTAAAATTCAAATAAACAAATTTCATAAGCATGCTGAAAGTCACATAAACATTAGTTCAAAAAGTAATTGAAAACTCAAAAAATTAATTTTATATTATTTTCTAATTGTTTGTGAGATATATTTTTTATCATGATTATAACTTTATTGGATTTGAATGTTAATTGAATTTTATAATTTTCATGTAGGTGAATATTCTTTGCAAATGATTCAGTTTTGATTTTATAATAAATATATATAAAATTATTAAATGTATTTAAAAGTCAAATTTTCTAAAAAAAATGTTAAAATATAATATATTATAGGCTACATTATATTTTTAGTTCTTTATCTTATTTTTTAAGGTTCATTTTGGTCATTTATATTTTAAAATATTTATTTTAATCTTTTATCCCTTAAATTTAGATCAATTTGACTATTTTAAAACAAAGATTATTTTCAATTTTGAGACACGATCTTTAATCATATATTGATTAATTTAAGACTTAAAACTTGTCTTACGAGATTTAATTATAAGAAAATGATTGAATACAACTAAAATTCAAATAAATTAAAAAAATTCATAAACATGTTAAAAATTGCATAAACATGAGTTCAAAATACAATTAAAATTTTTAAAAAAAATTAATTTTATATTATTTTTTAATTATTTATGATATATATTTTTCACGTGATTTTCCATTGACATTCTAATTCAATCAAAATTGTGTCACAAAACTGTAGATGTTTTTATAAAAAGATCAAATTGATTCAAATATAGAAATAAAAGATTAAAAATATAATTTAACTTTATATTATATATAATTAAATACTAAAAATAATTTGATAAATTCTTAATTGATAGTACATAATTTTTTTTTTCATTTATATAAATTAAATTTGATAGTAATTTTTTTTAAAAAAACCAATTGAATTAAAAGTTAAAATTCTTATTATTATCACTTTGGGTTGTACAATATTACATGGATATTTATTATGCAATTAAAATTTATAATAAATTATATATAAAAAATATTATATTTGAATATATAAATTACATTTAAAATTTATATAAATAAATATTTTAAAATATATTATATTTTAAATTTTGATAAATAACTTATATTGTGATACAATTTTTTTTATTTATTAATAATTTATTTTAAGATATTAATATTTAATTTATGAATCAACTTTTACATATTAAACAAGGATCAGTATCTTGTGCAAGAATGTTTGAAAGAGTTTTTTTTGACAAGACAGTTTTTATAGATTCTTTTTAATTATTTATTTAATTTAATTTTTTATTCATCATAATTATTTACAAATTAAATATTAATCTTAAAATAATTATCAATAAATAAAAATAATTTTCTGTTACAATTTAATTTATTTATCATAAATTTAAAAGATAATATATATATTTTAAAATATTTATTTCATAAAAAGATTAAATATAATTTATATATTTAAATATAATATTTATTTTTATATATAATTATTATACATTTTAATTATATATGTTAAACATGTTTATATATTTTACAATCTAAAATATTAATAATTATCATAAATAAAATAAAAATTAAAAATTTTTTAACAAATCTTTTGTCTAATTTTTCAAAAAAATAATTTCAGAAAATATAGTAACTTGTATGTAATATATAAAAAAAATAAATGATGGTGTACAGCAGTACTGTAGTGATGATGAGAAAGAAAAGAGACGGACAGTTGTCAAAAATAAAGGCGGCATTTATCCAGAAACGGCAGTGTATAAACCTTATCGAAACTGAATCTCATTCTTTTATCACATTTTCTTTTGGTACCAAACCTTTTACCTCTTTTCAAAATACTAATTAATTAATGTCATACCAATAATAACCAACCAGCCATAACCCATAAGTAGTAGGGGCACACAAGGAAAATCAATTTCAAACCTATTTAACAATAAATATATTCAAAAATTAAAATCAAAAAACAAATCAATCGTGCCAAGGCTTCGCCTTTGGGGCTTCTTTCCTAAATCCCACCCATAATTCTCACCCCTGCAATATTATTTTTCTTCAAACTCATTGGTAAGTTAAACACATTTATTTATTCTTTTCTTTTCTTGCTACTGCACATTTTATTAATCTTCATTTTTTTCTGCTTTTTAAAAATATTTTTATTCGATTTGCACTACCAATTAAAAATATAATTTCATTTATCAAAAATTGCATATTTACTGTACACTAAAATCTTAATCGAAAATTTTATTCAAGATCTCCGCAAGTAAAATCTGTAATTTCATCCAATTTGTGAAGTTTTTTTTTACTGTTTTGCTGAATTGCAAAATTAGGGTTTGGGTTTTTGTTCTTTATTTTTCCCTCTTTGTTTTGGGCTTCAGATTTTGGGAGGGAAGTAAAAAAAATTCAATCCAAGTGGAAAATTTGAAAAGGAGAGTTTCATTTATGAAGGGAGTATGGTTAATAAATTTTGAAATTTGAATTTGAATGGTAGAAGTACGATTGGATGTAGAAAAAGGAAAGATGATGATTGTATAGTGGCGTGTAGAGAGGGAGGATTTAACTGGTTATGATGTTCATACCATAATAGGATCAGACTAGGGTTTATATTAAGCGCCGTGAAACTGATGATAAAATTCCACTTGTTGTTCTTGTTTATGTGATTCTTCCGACAGTGAAGACGAAACTTGAAACATGTCGGGATCTGACATGGCAAACAGGGAACCGTTCACCGTTGGGATGCACCAACACCAACACCAACACCAACACCAACATCAACACCAACACCAACACCAACCTCAACTCCATCAAAACATGCGTTTGGACTATGCTCCTGACGGGCCTGTTTTCGCCCCTCCTACTGTCAACATTAACGGCACGGAAACCTCTCCAGCAGCGTTGCCTCCGGGCCTGGGCCTGGCCCAGCCCCAGCCTCAGCCCCAGCCCCAGCCCATGGTGGGTAGCAACTCTGAACCGCAAAAGAGAAAGAGGGGCAGGCCCAGGAAATATGGGTCTGAAGGTGCCATGGCCTTGTCCTTGACCCCTAACCGTCCTTCTGGTGCTGCCGCCGTGCCGGTTGGCCAGTCCGGCGGGGCATTTCCGCCTTTGGATTCCGCCTCGGCTGGTTCCGGGAAGCGCAGGGGCAGGCCTCGTGGTTCTGTCAACAAGAAGACTTCAAAGTTTGCTGGTAACTTTGCTTTTTTCCTTTCTCTTTATCATTTTCATTCTTCTTTTTTGCCTATATTGTTTTATAGTGTAAGATTTATTTTTTAATTTTATAAAACATATCCTAGAATGGAGTTCTTTCAGACCGCAACATGTTATCTATTTTGACTTGTTCTCGGTCTGTTTTTTTTTTTCAAGGACATTTCTTAATTTAATTTTTTTTAACCTTTTTGCTTCCCTCACCTACTGTGTGTGTGTTTATGGAGGGATACTTGTTCGTTATATATATTTTTATTTATGTATATGTTTGAACCATAATTTGTGATTTGGGACCTTGAATTTTAAAATGACTCTTTTGCCCGTGTGTCATGTGCTGATGTTTCCATTTCTTTGGTGTATTTTATTTCTGTTTGCCCTGAATATGCAATTTCTTATTTGCTTGCGTCCACTGTTCTATTGGATATCCGCATGTTATATTAATAGCTACTTTCTCGTTTGCGTGTTATATTATTTGCAAAAATGTGATGGCATCCTCTGATGGAAATGGAATCTCTCTGCAGGAGCAGCATCTGATTTTACTCCGCATGTCATTACCGTGAAAGCTGGAGAGGTATCTGCTTAATCTTACAGTCCCCCCCCTGAAATGAATGGAGTATATTATTTTCATAATGAATGACTGCTGTTGTTAAGTTTTGGATAATTGTGTTTTATTTTATTTATATTCCTTTATAATTTCGGATCCATGACTCTTATTAATACACCTATATTTAATTAAAACGGTGATTCGGTTAGCTCTGAATTGATGAATATTATTGTTGTGAAAGTGATATTGTGGTCAATACATTTTTTCAATTGCTTCTTTTTGTCAACTTTATCAAATTTGATTTCTGACTAGGAGCTAATTTAGATAAACTATTTTGCAACTTTTGAAAGACCACATGTATGGGAAGTTAATTAATGGAAGATTTATCTAGAAAATTTTCTTGCTGGTAAAACAGACCCAATGATAATTTGATCTTTAAAAGGTAGAAATGCATTATGTATCTGATGTATATATGGAACAATGTTTCAAACATCACTTTGGGGCGCGGGGTAGATCTCAATTTTGATCTGTTATTAAAATGTCACTACTGGTAACAAGGATGACGGTGAGCTTTGCTTATTGGTTATATTTAAATTCTAAAGTTCATTTGATTCCCTTGTGTAGATTCCTTTTGAGTTTATCTTAGTTTATCACTTTTATCTTTCTTGTTATGACTTTTTCATTAAATTGTACTTGTCTTTTGGGAGAAAAAAGGTGGCAGGGTTTTAAATTGTAGTAATCCCCAAGCATTTCTGGTTTGATTCTCCTGGGACCTAATATTGACTTTTTAAATATATTTTTTGATATTCAGGATTTGTCAGCAAGAATTATGAGAATTTCCCAGAGTAGTCCAAGAAATATTTGCATCTTAACAGCAAATGGATCCATATCTAATGTGACTCTTCGACAACCTGACTCAACTGGTGGAACTGTAACTTACGAGGTTCATAAACGTCTTAGCAACTTTTCTTTTCGCCCCCTTATAATATCCTCATCTTTAAGCCAAAAAAAATATAGCAGCCGTTAGATCTATCATTTGTTTACCATAAATGTTTGTCTATTATCTGTTGCAAATTATCCTGCTGGGGGAACAATTTTAACAAATTATATTCTGTATTCTGTTCTATCAAACTTTTAGTTAAAACATTAAGGTTAACTGTGTTTATTTTCATACCTAGTGAAAAATATAACTTTGATGTTTATTTCATAGCTTTATATGATAAATTTGAGTTAAAAATTTGTCCAAAACCAAATGGGGTTACTCGGGTACGGTTTGCGACTATTCTATATTTACAAGGGATACTCGTGTGCTCCCAGAACATTGATGAGAAAAGTTTATGATGTCACAATAAATTAAACAAGTTGCGTTGCATGGCCTCAGTTTGTGGTATTTGGTTTTCAGGGACGATTTGAGATCCTATCACTTGGTGGTTCATTGTTTCAAGTTGAAAATGATCAGAGTGGAAGGATGGGGGGACTGAATGTGTCCTTGTCAGGACCAGATGGCCGTGTGTTGGGAGGCGGAGTGGCAGGTCTCTTGATAGCTGCTTCCCCTGTTCAGGTACATTTTCTTTTTTGATCTATCAGTTTTTTTCAGACATTTAAAAGGAGAACAAATGAAGTATCCACAATTCTATATAATCATACTTGCTCATTTGGTAGTGCGTGGTGAACCCTACAATAACATTAAGATATTATAGGGAAATTCTTAGTTTCTTTCTGAATCATTTTTAGGAAGAGTGTGCATATACTTGTTAGTTTGTTTTGTCTATAAATAAATGTGTATATTTTGTAGGTGGTGTTGGCCAGCTTTGTTTCAGATATTCGGAAGCAATCCAAGTCTGCAAAGAGAATGGAAAATGCATCTGCCCCAGCAAAGGCTTCCACAGCAGGCCAAAGCAGCTCACCATCAAGGGGCACTCTCAGTGAGTCTTCTGGTGGAGCTGGGAGTGGTAGCCCGCTAAACCAAAGCACAGGAGCATGCAACAACAACAATATCAACAACAGCATCAATAATAATACCCCAACACAAGGCTTTTCAGGCATGCCCTGGAAGTAAACTTGACTTCTCTCATTGCTTGTTATGATGCTATTACCTGTGTCTCTCTCCTATGCCTTAAGCATTGAGGGGACACTCATGTTACATTAGTTTTGTGTAATATTAGTTGGAGGATGAACATTTCAGGGATGATACAGTTTGTGCTCTCTTAGCTTAATTTAGTTAGATATTGCGAAAGATTTGTCCTTAGTCTATCTATCTGCACTTGGGTGATTCAAGAGGAGCAGACAGGATCGGGATGTGTTCTAGGAACATGTAGGATCTGATCATGAGATGGCGGTGACTTTGTCATCCCATATTGTAATTTGTCGGTCCTTTCAGCTGAAACTTTCTCCTTGCTACCCCAGTTGTTCGGTGGTAATAATACTTTATTTAATCTTTCACCCTATCTTCGTAATCTTGTGATCATTGTTAGCCACATTTTATTAAATGAATGTGGAGGATGGCAGAAATTGTTTATTTTATCCTCCATTCTGTTAAATTATGTTTGGATAAAATTATTAAAACCAGGGGTCGATTGTGTAGCGTTCAAGAAAAGATAATTTTGAAGTTGTGTAAAAAAGTATATAGCTGATGGAAGAACTGCAAAAGTTACATGGTATTTCGAAGCCAGCGTCATCAAGTTTGCATTATGTTCGGATTGGTTTTTTCTACTCGACTCATCTTGGGTCACGCGACAATCGAGAAACAAATTATTTAGTAAACGAGTAGGTTTATATATTTTTTTTTTACTGTTAGAATAAAGTTTTTTTATATTAATAATCAATTATATCTTTTAATTATCATGTTACTATAAATATATTTATTTTTAACAGTGATATAATATAATTAAAAGATATAATTGGTTATCAGTGTAAACAAATTTTACATTGACAGTGTATAGATAATTAATTCATAATTTTTTTTTTTGTAAACATAAGCATTTTCATGTTTGTTTAAACAATAATCATCATACTTATAGTTATTGTGTCATTTTATTTTGGTAATTTTCTAATAAGAAATTTGAAGTTTAATTTCAAACGGTATATATCATTCAACTGAAAAGAAAGATAATTAAAAATAGAAATAGGGAAAAAGAAGTTTGAGCCAAATAATAAAAGAAAGTTTTCCTGCATTTATTTATATACAATAATAAATAAAGATTAACGGTTGAACTCTTACAAGTATATTGACTGTTAAATCATTAAATTGATATAAGTATCAACTTTCAAATCACAAGTACGAATGGGGTCAATCAATGATAATTGATACCGAGTATCAACCAATAAATTCATACTATTTTTGAACAAAGTAAAATCAATTAAAAAGAATATGATTTAAAAATTATTATTAAAAATCAAACAAATGCTGAATGGGTTTCTTGTTATATCTATTATTAACTTATTCTTCTTCTTCTTTTTTTTTTTTTAATTTTTTTTTTGATCTTGCTAACATAAAGTTTATAGGTTAGTTTACTTTAAGTTCATTTGATCCGTCGGGTTAAACAAATCAGCCTAAAATGATGTTTCTATTTATGTCACTTTTATAAAACTTAGCATAATCATATTTAAAAACTGACCCTATCAATTTAGCTCTAGTAAAAAGTGATTCTTTTTTAGAGGTTTTATATTTATTTTGGTTGCTAGGGATTTTATATAATTTACAAATTAGGTTTTGTTAGGTAAAAAATATAAAAGATGTATTTTTTAACTTGGAAGTAAAGTTTTAGTTTTTCTTTTCAGCAATTATACAAAGCAATCTCAAATCAAGGGAGCCATTGTGCTTGGTCAAACGGTGGGTTCATTATAATAATCTCTAAATGAGGGTGATCAGTGGTCTTAATTATTTCTATGCTTTTAGTTTTGGAATTGAGTTATACCGAGCACTTACTGTAACTTTATGGACACTTTTACTTCAGATATTTCTAGCAAGCTTTGAAAAGCTGGATTAATGTATCATCTGAAAAAGGGGACAGTGGTTCAAGGGAATAATGAAAAGAGTTAATCAATTTATTATTATATGGAAAAAGTTACATTTTTTCAAAGGTAAAGCTGGAACAGGCATACACTGAAAAATTAAGTAGAAGGAAAGAAAATGAGAAACAACAATGGACTAAGTGATAGGGGGAATGAATCTTATTCCTTCTTAGTGGTATAAGAAGCCATCTTATAGATACCGCAGATACCCTTTGGCTTTCCAATGTTCCTCTCCATTCTTATGTATCCTTTCTCTCCCCACTTAGATCTCCATGAATTTTTCACTATGATATAATTCACTCCTTTTGAACTTTTGTATCCAACAGCTGTCACGCTACATATGGTAATCCAATCAATTTAACAGTGTATTAATTCAAATCATTTCTTTTCCAATAAAAGTTAACCAAAAGGGTCATAATAAGACTTAGTTTATAATTAAGCATACCCCACTATAAAATTGGAAATCTCTGTCTGAAGCCTCTATAGTCACACGGGGGTTGATTTGCAAGTGCCTTCAATAAGCTCTGTTCATTGTTTTGGTTTCTATGTTATTTATTGGATTGAAACTATCTGATAGTGATGTTAAGCTTAACTAATTACCTTTGTTATCTCACAAGGGTCTTCCTCCATAATGTAAGGATAATCTTACTCTTTATGGAGTCCACCATTTTCTACTATAAAGGAGAATGCATATTCCATGAGACCACTATTGCAACCATTATTGTAAGTTCTGTCACAGTCAATCAACTCTTGCTCAGATAATGATGTTAAATTTTCGGTCACAATCTGATTTATTCCCTCAATTGTTGCAATAGTAGAAAATGCCCAGCAACTACCTGCTATAAGATCACCACCATGTCAATACTAATTATAATTAGTATGATAAATTATTACATAGTTTAGGATTATCATGGATTCAGACCTCAGTAACATTAGGTACATCACTTATTACACGATCGAGGATTATTATGATTTCAATAACTAATATGACATTAATTAAGTGCTATTAACTCTTTAGTAAATTTTAAATCTGAGTTATATGTCATAAAGATTAGTTATATATGTGATGATCTAAGACTATATAATAGGTACAAAGCAGGGGTACAGATAATGAGCATAATACTTACCACATGAACCTTGGTTCTTGACTGGGGTAACGACACCTTTCTTTCTCCAATCCTGGCAATTCAACATCTTTATAAGAGAGTTCCTCGGGGGACTCTCTCCTTGTAGAGTAATCAACCTTAACTCCCAGGTACTTTTTCTTAAACTCTTGGTGGCTCAAATCAGCAAACTCATTCAAACCAAGCCATAGTTGCTGACCACCTTGTTTGTCTCATCAATGTGCGTTAAGTTGTCCTTGAAAATCTTGAACCTAAGAAGCTTCTCCTCAATGCTCTCATAAATCTTGCTGTGTTTTGGCATCCAAGACTCAAAGAGCTCAATGAGCTTAGACTTTAAGTCCTCTGATGAATAGCCAACAATGGAGAAATCACGTCCAAAAGCCAAAGGCGCACATAGGAAAAAGGAGCATTCAAGGAAAAGTGCTTTGGAAGAGGAGAAAGCATGGCTATAGTTGTTGAAGTGTGAATGCAAGAGAAGAAGGGAAGGGATGAGGAAGAATGGGAAAGAGAGGAGTATATATAGTTTGTGTTTGAGATGTTTCATTCAAAGTAAAGTATGTTGGGATTGTTATAGCTTTAGTAGTCTTCAAGTATGTTCTTTCAGTGGCTTTACATTAAAACATAATATCACATGCCTTAATCATGTGCCACAAGATAGAATGTATATATATTTCGGTGTTGTAGGAGAACCTTCGTTTCTTTTTGGAAAAAGGAAAAAAAAAAAAAAAACCCTATCAGAATGATACGAGATTTTTTTAAAATAGGTAAATAGTTGAGAAATTATACAGTATTTTGATAAATTTGAGGGGATTTAGATCACATATGGTTTCATGGTGTTTATTGAGATAATAATTTAGTTGAAAAAAAAACATGTAGTCGTTATGGTTTTTTTTTTTAATTATAAAATACTACTATCAATCAAGCTTGTGAGGAAGGATGTTGAAAATAAGAGTCAAAAAAAGTAATAAGAATAGTGGAGAAAGATTTGAGTATAAAGGGCTTCACTGATTTAAATGATGATCTTTTTGTCATAAAGGAGGTTTATGACTACTGTTTTATTGGTTTGACTAACATGGAAATTCAGGAAGTAAATCTTTCCTTATAGTTTATAGATGTAAATCCAATGTTTGCTTCATTTCTATTGGTCAATTTTAAATTACGTCATTTTATAAAAGTATCATGTGGCTCCCTAAATAATATTGCTGGAACAATTAGAATATTTGATTTTTTCATAACAAAATTGAAAACATTTATCATTGTTTATCACCCTAAAAATATCATCTCTCCTCGCATAGAATAGAATAACTATTTTGAATAATGAAAGTGTTCTTTAATGAGAACATCTTTAAAGATTATTGCTTAAAATTCTTTTTTATCTCTTTCAGAGTTTCAGTATATTATTTTCATATTTATTTATATATTAAATTCCAATAATTTTTTTAAAAAAATTATTAATAGTTACAATAACCAAGTATATAATATAAACTATTTATATGCTCAAAATATTTACTTACTTTTAGAACTTTAGTTATATTTAATATATATAATTAAAGATACTTATTTATTATAAAATTAATTATATAAAATAAATATTTATCCTGTATATGGTACAAATGCATGGAATAAATTTCTAATTTACACTAATATATAATATTTCTCATGTATATTACACTTATATATAAAATTTTGGATTAAATATGTTTTTGTTTTCTCAATTTTTACTTTTAATTTCTGAATAATTTTTTTTTATTAGTTGTAATCCCTGAATATTTTCTGTTTTTGAATTTTTAGTCCTTAATAATTTTTTTGGTTAACATTTCTATAATTTACCGTCAAGATTTTTATTTTTTGGTTGAAATTTTTTTAGAAATTAAAATTAAATTTAAGGAATGTAAAGTATGATTTAAAGAGGAGAGGAACTTTAAGGATCTGAAAACTTCTCTTTCTTCTTCTTAGGTTCTTAAGAGAAGATTCATGCTCGAAGGGTGAAGAATTCATTTTTGGGGTTGGTGTGGAGCTTGGGTGATTTAGAGCTCAAATTCATTCCTTCTTCTCTTCTCTTTTCTTGGTTTAGTTTGGAATTGAGGTAAGGGAAGTTAAAACTCAACTCTTGATGGATTTGCATTGTGTATATTGTTTAAACAACTTTCATTTCCTGGTTAAAGAGTTTTGTGATGGAAGATTTGGCAAGTTGGGGTTTTTCATGTTCTTGAAGAAAAATTATAAAAAAAATTGACAATATACTTGATTTGTTGTCGATGCATGTTGTTTTTCCTTTGATTTCTAACTTGCATGTTGTTAGAAATGAA